AGACGTTGTGGTCTCCCCAGAGTTTGAATAAAAAACGTTTTAAATCTATCTTGGAGGCAGACACTAAAAAAGGGTGGTAAACTCAAAAAGCCATTAACCATTTATTCAAAGAGACAGCTCCACATGTGGATACACGGGCACTAGAAGAAACAGAAAATGGTCTTTTGGTAATACTAATTGTTCACTCTCCCACTGCTTTCCTAAAGGCATAAATGTGTTGATCCCACACAAGATGCTCAGACTGAGCCCAAGGCGAGCAAAACGGCAAGGAAAGCTGCTTTATAATTAATACACACACTATAAAATATTGATCATCAGAGGGATGTGGCCAAATATGGATTTTTTTTGTTTGGATTTGTACTAAAGATAATAACCACACATTAATTATTTGTCTAATTCTTGAGGAAAAGCAAATCTTCATTTCATGATACTGTCTTTGGTGGATATAAAAAGTCTACACATCTGTCTTAATGACGTAAAGCTGTTTCACATAATTGAAAGCAAAACAATCTATTGAAGAGAAAAAATATGGGTGTACACTAGGGGTGTAAATCACATCCATCATGGCGATTCGATTCAGTATCGATTTCCTGACCCAACGATTCGATTATTTTCGATACTTAAGAATACACCACGATTCGATTCGATTAATCGATTAATCGGTTAATTTTTTTATTATTATTATTATTTTTTTTTTTACACCTTACAGGCTGAACAAAGTTTCAAGTTTGAAATAAATCAATGAAAGCTGTAATATCATTATGCATTTTCTTTAGAAACAACAACAAATAACAGAAGTAGAAAAGTTGCATCAAAAAATACTGCAAAAATACTGCACAATATCAGTATAATGAGTTCAATGCAATACCTCGGCTCCAGAGAAACTGTCCAACATATTTTTTTAGAATGTAATAAATATATTCAGGAAAGAGAGATGTTGTGTAGAGAGTTAGACAGGAATAAAAATAAACTAGATATAAGGGAATTGTTTCAAAGGTCATCTGGGGATGTAGTTTTTGGGAGTATTTTTAATTTTCTAAGAAGAACGGGTATTTTAGGGAGAATATAATAGTTTGTCTGGTCCATACTCCATTCTGGAAGGTGGCGGTAATGCACCTATAAGTTGTTTGCCAACCGCCATTAAAAAAAAGAAGAAGGTTCCAGAGTGTTGACGTCACCGCCCCTTGAGAGACGCTCCGCTGCTCCTCTCCCAGATTGTAGCTGACCGCAAACAGTGCACCAGACAGGAGGCCGGCTTGTTTTGTTTTTATGACCGAAATTGCGGAAAACAACTTGTGAAGTTTGACCCGCTAGAAGAGCGAGGTGCGCGAGAACGCTGGGAGCCTTTTTCCAGCTGAATCTCCGCTCTTTTTGCCCCATTGTCCCTCCGTCGTCGGACTAAACTCGCCCCCACTTCCTCACCGCCTCGGCCGTATCTAGACCCACAGCGTGTAGCACAGACCACGCTTCAATACTGAGCATAATTTAAAAATGTCTGTGTGAAGCTTGCTGCAACAAACTGCTGTAAGAGTATAACCAGGAAGCGAGGTAGGAGGGCACAATAGGTTTAGCGGCACCGCAGCACGGGAGGGAAAATTACGCCCAGGAGCAAATGGATAAAAATAGACCGGAGGGAAAAAAAAAACAATCGATTATCTTGCGGACATGTCGATGCATCGGATCGTCGGCTTTTGGATCGATGCATCGATACAAAACGATTATTATTTACACCCCTAGTGTACACCGTCTTATTACTTGATATTTTTCTTTAAGATCTAGCCACCACGTATTCATGTTAATGTTAAATAAGAGTCAGTCAGCTTTAACTGACATTATCCATTCTTATGATCCATTCAAAGACAGGTTTTGGAGTATCTGCCAGCATTTTCGGTCTGATAGAGGGTCCTGTCTGTATAAAATACTGCCTTAAAAGACTACATGTGAAACCTGCTTCACGATTTGAAAAGTTTCAAACATACCATGCGGCAGCTTTGTGTGGACAGCCTTAACCACCTAACTGGCTGCAAGCTGGCATGTTTGTGCATGCATGCTCATGTAGGTCTCGCCTCTCCCTTTACACATATGTGCTCTCCCATCAACAGCACTGTTAGTGCACCGTTCGCTCCTCTGGCTTCATGTAATTTAATATTTAGGGTCAGACCTTTCTGTGTGGATACCATCTTTAACACGGTGTGTGGAAGTGGCCTTATTCACAACAATGGCATGGTGTAGAGTGAGTTTCTAAAGGACATCATTGATCAGAAGGATCTCATTGTTGAAAAATGTCAGACAGGAGAAGGGTACAATAGAACTTCCAATGCATTAGATTTTTCATAGAATACAAGAAGAAACTCTGACATAGAGTACTGTAAATATGGCATAATAGTGACAGGGCCAAGAACTGGACTCAAACTTCAACTGGTGAAGACAAAAAGAAAACTAGTCATGTAGGCAGATTCTAGTATGCACAGACTGCATAATGCATGGAAAAAGGCAATCTACTATTCTCTTGGTATGTCGCTTTTTTGGATCATAATACCATCTTCGTAGACTACTACCCCAAAGAGAGGGATTAATACAGTAAACTTGGGAAGGACCTAACCAAAGTATTGAGTTACAAGTTTTCTATCCCATTGTGTTTGGTATGTTTTTGGCAATAGCCACATTGGAGAGACTAGTGGAAACGGTTATAAAATTTGTTATTTGGCCTAATTTCTTTGCAGTACACAGACTTTGAATTTTAATATGAGTGTGTTGATATTTTTATATCCACTGTTTGTGGGGTGAATGCTCAAGCTTTAAGGGATGGATAAATACTGTCTGCAAACGAACCACTTGTTTCATTGTATTTTTATCATTAGTGGATTGGTATTTAAATCCATAGCTAAAAGCCACAAAAAGAGGCAAAGGGTCTCTCCAATGTGGCTATTGCCAAAAACATGCCAAACACAATGGGATAGAAATCTTTTTACATGTAAACCCCAAACTTACCTTTTCCCTCCTTTCCCCATTCTTGCCTTGCATACATATACATGCAGAAGAGTTGTCTGATTAGCAACCACATCTCAGATCCCTGATTAGGTGTGGAGTAAATGAAGTGCACCCCTCTGGCATGCATTTCCATAATGTCAGGTAATTAAACCCCAGTGTTTTAATAGCTCAGGAATAAGGAAGGCTCCCTGAGAGACCAGACAATGATGATAGATGATGCTGGAAAACAGTATAATGCTGGCTTAAGTTTGAGCTGACTTTAAAAATGTTGAATTTTGCTTAAAATACAAATGTGCTATAAAGTTAGACTTTTAGGACAAACTAAGCAGACATTTCATATAGTTTCTCATTAAAATCAATGTAGAACTATTTCAAACATAAGAAAGATCATTGCCTTTTTCATCTCTCCAAACTTGGAGGAGTTGACAATTAATAGATCGTAATAATACCTAACAAGAACTAGAACTGCTTTATAATTATATTACAAAAAAGCTTATTCTGTATTTTTTTCTCCCTTCTTTTTACTTAACATTCGTAGTTAAATCAGCTTTATGTCTTAAGTAAAAGTAAAACAATCTAGTTTTTCACAGGGAATCTACCACGCTGCTTTACACAGAGCTGTTCAGGGAGTGGTGCACATTTGAGTTATGTGCTCTTTGTTGATAGCTGACAGATTCCAGAGCTAAACAAAGGCTGTGAGAGCACGAGTGTCTTTTTTATCACAGAAAAACCTGGAGAGGTGCTATTGTAAACATGACAATGGTTTGTCAGTACATCCCTGTTTGAGCTGTTGCTTTGTGGTTGTGTATGTGTTGTCGTCATACTGTATGTTCGCACAAAGACCACACAGATGTGCAACAAAGGCCTTTTGATGAACAAAAACCTGCTGTAGGAAGGTTTTCTTTTGTAGGTCTGAGACGAGAAAAAAGCTCCACAGAATTCGACAGAGGCTGATTGAACTCCAGATGTCACTTCCTTCATGTAAATTAGGCTATAAATAAACTAATGGAGACTTCCTTGGTAATGATTCATGTTCATTATCTGTTGTTTGCACACAATGTTTTAGAAACAGGCGTTTAAAGGGGACTGATGCTCTAGATCTACCTGAAGATAATTAATTGGATGTTGAGGAATATGGTTCTTAAAATCTCTGATGCCTGAACTACACTTAAAACATCACTGCTACCCACTTTAGGTAACATAAAATAACAGATGTGTTCTAAAAGTCTTTTAATCTTTTGCATCTTGTGTTAAAGGGACTTCTTAAACTAAAAGAAGAAAAAGGGGTTCATATTTAATGATTCACTCTGGGTTTCCTCTTGTAGGAGCCGTGTTTTAAGTGTGTGTCTGAATTTCCTTGTTCTTGCTTTGCTTTGCAGATACATGAAACACGTCAGATTAAGGAACTAGGCCTCATTAATACATATCACAAGCTTTTTAGTAAAGAGTTACTTTATACACAGCATAGTTTATTCTCTTTATATGACAGGTGTATACAAGCACATATATCTGTCAGCCAAATACACGCAATTGCTTTTCTTTTCAGTAAATATTAAGTAAGGTTTTTTGCACTCATTTTGTAGCAAAGTTAAATAAAAAAATTGTGGCCTAAATATTAAAAAAGCAAACAAGAAAAACAAACACTTTCTCCAAAAACAAGAAATTTTGTATGTTTGAGATGTGATGAACTGACTCATGCTGTTGTAACAATTGTTGGAAGGTTATAAACACCTTCTATCTTTGGCATAGTTTATAAAATGTTAGATTAATAGAAATAGTTTTGGCAGAATCTGTCAAACAATATTCAGGCTCTTTTTATTTCAGCTGGAAAGAGTTTGTACAACTTCACAGTACAATGAGACACTGTTAAAAAACAGTAAAATGCACAGTTTATGTACTTGATGCGTTTTTCTGATGCCAAGATGTACATTATACTGAAATAGTCAATTATTAATAGAAATGCAAACTTTCATATATGTTCTGAATTTTCTTTTTCCCTCTCATTTCAGCAAACACATCTCTGCTGGGAGGTGGAGGAGGTAGGTCACATGAACATTTAAATATATTTAATTTTTTTTAATGCTGATTCAAACAATATTTGATCGAGCTAACGTAATTTGATGTATAGCACATCCGTAGCAGTTTGCAAACTTTAGTTTTTTTTCAATAGCTTTTTGTAAATACAACTAAATGTTCCCTTGGATGGAAATATTAAAGCTTTTGGCAGAACAGCCTTGCTCTTTGCCACTGAGAGGTGGTCATTACATTAGCAGTCTGCCAAACAGGATCATCATCAAAGCAAGGAGCAAATCCAAGGCAGCCAACTGTGGCGTGAGAATAATGGGGAGGGAGGCAGCCACTGCCCGCTCCTTCTGCTTCAATTTTCTTACCCTTTTTCTAGAGTTAGACATTTTCTGACATGATTGAGATAATAATTCTTCACCGCAGTGAGACCAGATCTGGGTAAAATGCTCCAGGTTAAAAATGGAATGTTAATTTTTAGCCCCGCAGGGAATTCTCTGATAATATGTGGAAATAATATTCTCTGCTTCAGTCCTGTTTGTGTATCCATCAGCTATGCTGTCATGTTTAATATGTCTTCAGTTGAAAAAAGGAGCTTTCTTTTGTGAAACAAATAGGGTTCATGCGTATCTTTGTTTATCATATTTATGAAAATCATCGAAGAATGCATGTTTTGGGTGTTTTTGCCTAAAGCTGTCTCTGTAGTTGTCTAAATAGATATCACTTGTTTAATTTGTTTTAATCATGAAGCCCTCTGTGTGCTTGCCATCTAGCTATTTCAATGTTTTTCCTCTAATTTATCATCTGACATACCTGTTTTATTACCTAGCTTGCTTTTTTTTTTGCAATCTAGCTCTTTAGCCTCTAGACACTGATGATTTCTAGCTTACAAGCCGGTTTGCTCTAGCTTGCCTCAAACTGCTACGGTATTTATCTTCCTAGCTTTCTTTCAAGCTTATAATCTATCCTTTTTGCATGTTGTTCACCAGCTAGACTGTCATATAGCAGGCCACTGGATTTTGTTTGCATTGCATTGTGGGTTTTCTTTCTTTCAACATTTGACAGATGTTACCTAAAGAACTTTAAGAAACAGGTGCAGCACACTAAAATACGGGATGAAAATAGTTCCTTGCGTGATAATAAATCATTTATTCGTTTATTTGTTTATTAAGGTTAAACAACTGGCAAATATAAATTATTACAGACAAGGCTGGGCTTATAGGAACATCAAAGACTCAGCATAGTTTAATGCTCAATGCACATGCTGTCTCTTAGAGACATGAAGCTGTTCACAACTCATCATGCTCCTTGGAGTGGCCCTTATCTCGTCTAAGAGATTGTTGAGGCTGCATACTTGCAGTGTGGGTTCTCAATCTGTCACTCACAAGAAGAGATCCTCAGCATACAACTACTTTAAGAATTTCTATGATTGAGAGCAAAGGTCACAAACATACGTCTCCATTATCAAGCAGGCCCTGCAAAATGGGGTACACTGTTTTCCTGATTGGTGTCTGTCTCTATTGTGGTCAGCTCTCAATATTGATTTACCATTTACAAAGAAACAAAATGAGGCGGCGATTTTCTTTTCTGTTCTGATATTCTCATTACACTTGCATTGTGGTAAATCGCCTCCTTACAGTTTTTGAAATCTGTGCTGTCAATTGATCCAGTTGCTTCTTAAAATAATAATAGGAGTTAAGGTGTTGATGATTGTTCTGTTTGAAAACAGTATCAGCAAATATAAAGCTGGATTTATGGCTGTCAACACTAGAAAGTGGGATCATTTGTTTCAATTAATGTCATACTTTGCAAAGAAATATTTTCACCTGATTGAGACCTGCAGCTGTGCTTGTTAACGCCTGAGGAATTCTAATTGTAGCTACATAGCAAACATCTTTTCAGTTTCCAATTACATCCGGTAATGCTCTTCCTGCTTAGTCACTTACACAAAACACAAGGTCAATTAACTCTTCAAAGCTAAGGCTCAGTGAGGATTATGTTTTTGTTTTTTGTTTGAACAAAAGCATTATTTTGAACGTTAGTGTTATCTTGTATTAATCGGAAACAAGAAGATGCCTATCTTTAGTGTTATTTTTTCCTTCAATTGGGCCTGCACCTTGTTTAATCTGCGACAAGAGGTTTAACTTTTTCAGTGTCTTCTCTAACCTAAAGGTGGCTTCAAAATAGTTTTGTCTGTTGCCCTGCCCACCCCTTCCTCCCTCTATCTGTGGCTTGGCATGTAAAGACCTCCTGCCTTGGTGGCAGTGAGGATCGATGGGTAGAGGAGATGTGCTCTCATATAGGGTCCTCCTTATCTCCCAGCTGTCTTCTTTGGGCTCTACAGAGGGCCAGTTACACAGCAGGATGATCCATCATGCTGGCCTCACACACCTGAGCTGTGCTTATTTTCTCATAGCTGTGCAGGTAGGCCTCCTGCCAGGAAGTGAAAACTAGACGAATCCGTTACTCTGTTGTTTACCTTAATGCCTATGCACCTTTTTCATACTTTTTAAATATATATATGATGGACTGGGTATCATTACTATTTATTTGTAATTCTATTTTAATGTATAAAAGTAGAATTCAGTATTTGCTGAATTTATTTCAAACAGTACTCTAGGTGAAACAAAAAGATTACAGTAAAATAAGTTTTCTGTCTTTACTCCACATGGTTAACTTGTGCAGAGGTTCATTTATAAAAAATAGCATTTTTTGTGCTTTTCTATGTCTTGGACTTGAAGCCCCTGGGTGATGCTACAATAAAGTTACTACTAAAAATGTGTGTGCAGTGTTATCACCATAAATGTGGTAAAAGATCAACAGTTAATACACCATGCACTAGTCTCTGGCCTTTTCCCAGTGATAGATAGCAGTTAATTAGCTTAACAATATCTCTTCATTAAGTATTAGAAATTGTAACATATACATGCGCCTTTTACACTACCCCTCTCAAACTGATCTATGCCGAGTTCGGGCCGAGCTTGGATCGGTTAACCTTGCAGAGCTTAGTTCTTACTACCATTAACACTTCCGCATGGATTCTCGCCTCCTATCGGTTGTCCACGATGCTACAGCTCTCATGGCGGGAATTATGCAAACAGAAATGGCGGCACCCATAACATTCAAGAACTTATGTGCCTGGATAGCATCCTCTGAGCAAATTTCAATGGGAGCCTCAGTCTCTGCATCATCTGAGGTCGTACCGCACTCTTTTGATGCCATTTATTGTTATTAAGCTGAGAAGAAGTTTGCGTTGTGAACAAGTGAAGAGATCTACAGGACACACCGGAAAACCTGCAAAATGAGTCGGCTGACTCCAAATAAAAGATGACATGGTCTGCTCATGCACTCTTTGTTATCAGAGAACCGAGCCACAGATGAACCACACCGAGCCCTACTGTTGAACTAGTACTAGATCTGGCGTGGTTTGGATGTGTCTGGCACGGTCCATTTCAGTTGTGTTCCATTTATCTTGGCTACCGTGCTCGGAACATTCTCGGCACAGTTTCAAAAGGGTAGTGTAAAGAGGGCTATAGTTTAAGGACCAAGTTAACCAGACTGTCACAAGTGCCTTGAACATGACAAAATGTTCAGCTGTATGAGTGTTGCAGCTCTAAAGCAGTGTATACTTGACAATTCCAAGGGCAAAAATAGAAGTGTAAATGAAACATTAATTTCACAACAACTCCAATTATATCACCTGATATGCTACACTATGGCTATAGGTGCTGTGGCTGCACTGATGAAGATTTGCCCAAATGAATAAGCTGGATAAAATAAAACAAAATAGATCTTTAATTATGAAAAAAAAAAAAAACAAAAAAAAAACAAGATTGTTCCCAACACAGTTAAATACCCCTCCATGAAACAATAAAACAATGAATTCCACAGTTATGTTCCAAATACAGATGCTCCATTGAAACTGGCAGTGTATCAAAAGTGACACAGACACAACAGGACTTAATGGGCTGCAATATTTGTTTCATTTTTTCAAATTTATTTGCACCCAGCACATGTTTTTCAACACGACGGGACATCTGGCAAGAAAAGAAAAAGTTAAAGCAGTCATAATCTCATTCATGAAGGTTGTAGGCACAGATAAGAATTTGTTTAAATACAAATATGGGCTGAGATCCACTATTTAGGCACTTTTCCCCTCCTAATCTAAATTGTATCCAAAAAAATCCTAAGAGGTACGCTGTATGTTGTAGAATCTAGTCTGCTAGCTCACAATGACTATAATGAATGTATGTAATAATAATTAATGGGATTTTTTATTTTTGTTTTTCACTTTTTCATTAATGTTTCCAGTGTTAGTTGAGAAAAAATTAAATATCAGATTCCTTTGCCCACAGCTCTATTAAATCCTTGGAAATCACTGATGGGAATTCTCTTTAGGCTATGCACTCTTAGTATTGTGTACATAATGGGGTCATCCAAAATAGTACCGTTATCTTCGTTAGATGTGTTGGTCTCACTGGGATTCCAAACATACATTGAGGAAAATAACAATGATCCCTGATAATAGCACGCTAAATGAGGCTTCTGTGAATGGCGGGTAATTATGCATAGTATTAGGTTGCCTATGTGATGTGTGTCACAGCATGGCAGGGTGTTGGCACAGACACAGAATTACAAAATCTCCTTGCTCTACTCGTCTTTTTCTTTCCATTTGTGCCTTTTTAACACATGAAATCTGTGATTCAAGCTCATTCTGAATCATGTAATGATAGCATGAAGCTCTGTGCAGGCTCTGTGCAAAGAGGGAGCTCTCCTTGCCTCTGATGTCTCCATCTAGGAGGGGAATTGCCTCATTACCATTCTAACCAGAAGCATTGGCCATTTAACACTCTGCTTTAACTAGACCACCCAAACAAGTAATTCATGTAAGGTTGGACCCTTTTCTTCTCCTATCAAGTAGCATGGCTAAATGTTTTTTTAAGTGGTTTTCATTGTCTAGATATTATTATTTGTGGATTTTACGAGTTATATAACAGTGTTATGCTACATTCACACG